ACCAAATAGGTTCTTGTCTCCAGCTGCATACCACAGACAGGGACAGTTGACCATCGTATGGTATGCAGCTGCAGTTAAAAAAATTTAGTTGTGATTTTTCATTTCATTGAAAAAACCCGTGGATGTTTCCAAGTAACGTCATCTTTGGTGAATCATCTGGAGCAGCAAATTTCTTGTTTGCTTTGACACTTTGCGAATTTCCAGTCCGATGTTTAGGTTCGCAGTACTATCAGCACCCCGGCTGCTTATCTCGGTCCAATGTCGAAAACCTCGTCTTTTACAAGAAAATTGGTAGAAAAAGGATGCATAAATCATTCAACGGTATGTTTATTCCGTCTATTTACCGCAGTGAGATTATTTTGCAAATCTGCAGGATACCCTTTCGCCAGAGGTACGCCGTAAAGTCGAAGAAAATCTGAGCCGTGCACCTTCCATGCAGTCGTTACGTGGATCCATAGGAAATCTTGCCGGCTGGCGGGGCTCAGCTATGAACCTTACGGACACTCCAAACCTTAGTCGCTTCAGAAGTTTGGTAAGTTTTTTGTGAAGTTAGTAGAATTTAAAGATTGAAATAGTGCACGAACGGTGTTAACAAGACTTGCGCGTGAAAAGTGCCCGCGAGCGCGAACTGAAAATATAGGTCATCTATAAATCGTGACGGATTTTAAAACACTCATTTGAAAAAGGCATCACCCCAACGCTCAGCTCAGTCACTTCCATTGTCTAGACAGTATCATTTTGAGCAGAAAAACCATTGGAGTAGAGATGGAAACCAAGTAATTGCGGTTGCCGGGAGTGCGTGCGTGTCGCGCGCGGTCGCACCAGTCACGATTTTTCGAATGCCCTATAAGCGCACTGTGGCCATTGTTGGTAATTTACCCTCGATGCAAACATATTTTTTCCACACCCCACTATATTGATCGCTAAGTTCAGATATGTACATTGTATTGTGTTCTTTTATGAACCAGATTTCTTCAGAATCCCAATTTCCGTTCCTTCAATATGAAGAAAACCACGGAGAAGCAGCAAGAGGTCATTGATCGCTTGAGTCAACTAAGGGAAAATTTGCGATCCAGCGAGAACTTTGTGGATCGTGGAATCATCCCCAAACGCAATAATAATTTGGCTTCTCCCGCTGTGATTAAGACCTAATCAGCACCATCACCATTCTCGCCTTCTGTTAGTGGCTTTACTCTGTACCCATTGTTTTCTCCTTCTTGTCCCATGACTTCATGTTTACGTGCAGTGCCATTCTGCATATC